CTCCTGCATGTTCCCTTTTCCCAGCCTCGCCACTTCCCGTGGAGAGGAACTGGCTGAGCACAGAAGCGGTGGGGTCTCATTGTCCTGCTTCCATATTCGTGGAAGTTCTCTGGGTCTTGAGGCTATCTATGGTAGATGAGCTTTGGACAACCTCGGGCCACTTGGACAGGTGTGGCAGCAATGGCAGCTGGACACTCTGCATCATCCCTGCCATCATTGCATGTTGCATCTTAGTCCTAGTGCTCCCCTGGTGCATGTGCAACCCCAGAAATGCAAACACCTCATGAGGCTCTGGCTGTGCCTGGTGTAGGCAGAGAGACAGGTCCCTTGATTGAGCATACCACACCAAGCAAGCACCTACTCTTTCTGCACCAGCTTAACTGTTCTCCAATGCAAAGCCTGTGGTGGGAGATGAGGGAAGATGCTCTTCACTCTATGCCCCTATGGGATCTCCTGACACCTGGTTCAGGCTGTGCAGGAGCCTAAGTCTGGGCTGTGGTGTTTGCAGGGCAGGAGTCAGAGCTCCTGTTGGGCAGAACACCTGTGGTTCTGGCAGTAGTGCTGGTCATTGCGCTCCTGGCACTGGGGATTTTACTGCTCTTCGTGCTCTTCAGGTGAGTATGTTCCTCACCTCTCCTGCTCTCTGTGAGGCATTCCAACACCTTGCACTGCCAGGGAGTATCCAAGTGGACCCTGAGATAAAGCAAGGTGGGAGGCAGGTGTGTTACATGGGCAACAGCCTCTCCTCTGTCTCTCCCTTCTGTTGGTTTATGGGTATGACTTGCTGTTTTACAGGCGAAAGTACCACAGTTCAAAAACCTCGGAGAACAGCAGTGCTATCCCTCTGCAAAGATGTCAGCGAGGTGCAGTATAAGCAGAGGCCCTGCATGCCTTGTCTGGACAGGCTGTCTGTTAAAGCATAGGCAGAGTGCTTACAGGCTCTGTGAGGTCCTTACAGGAACAAGAGGATGAGAGCTGGCTGGCATGGGGAAAGGGACATCTCCCAGGAGAAAGGGACCTGTGTGGAGAGGGACAATCTTGGGTTTGGTGGGGTCCTGACCACTGCAATGCCAGCTCAGTCCCAACAGCAGAGCTCCAGGGCACGCTAAACTCCTGGCCTTGTGGTGTTTGTAGGCTGCAAGTTGAACACACAGATCCCAGTGGAGGAACTGCTGGAGACTCTGAAGAGGTTTAAGAGGGCAGAAATAGAGGCAGAGCAGACAGAGGATGAATCGGTCAACAGTCATGGTGCTGGGCGTTTGAGAGAGTATCAGGTCTGGTTTGGCTTTGCTTTCCCACCTGGCTACTCTGTCCACCCAGCCCTCACCCCTTCCTTGGGTGTGCAGTGCAGTTGGCCTTGGCCAGCCCCAGAACATGTGCCAATACAGAATGGGCTTGTCTTTTTCCTGTGCAGCAACTGTCCTCTGCTCTGTTGTACCCCTGTGATGCCGGGAAGGAGCTGTGTAACCAGGGCAAGAACCGATACAAGAGCATCATCCCATGTAAGCAGAGTTCTCCAGGGGCTGGCACAGGCACTTGGAGGTGGTTGGGCAGTACAGGGTGCTGGGCTGGTGTAGGTGCCCTTCCAGCTCTTCAACAATGCTGAGCTCCTCATCTCATCCTCTGTGGCCACTGAAACCCAGAGGGATTTTCCAAAATTGTCATGCTGGCCCCACTGTTTTGTATCCAATTGGAGAATTCTCATTCTTCTGCTCCTCAAATCTCCCTGCAAGTTTTATCATTCATTACTGTATTCCTATTCCAGCTGTTAGTCGTTGCTGGACACTGCCATGTCCCATCCAGAGGTGGCCATTAGTAGGAAGGTGGAGGGAGTGACCCTATCTCTATCAAAACTTACAGTTCCTCTGGACCCCGCATGGTGTGGACATTTGGCCATTGCACTAACAGTCTTCCCAAAAAACATGTTACATTTCCTGCTATGCCATGTCACCTTTAGTTTCATTAGCTGTTGTTTGCCTCTGAACACGTCCTGAGGCCTGGAATGCTGCTGAGGAAGGAGTGGACAGTCATGGACTTTCCTAAATTCATCCCTCCTTAAACAGTCCATTGCTGCCCCAAAGACACAGTCCACCAACTCTCACCTCCCTTCTCTTTCAGATGATCACTGCCGTGTGGTGCTGCAGCCCTCTGACACGGGGAATGGCTACATCAATGCCAGCTACGTGGATGTAAGTAGCAAGGAATTACTGCTCTGGGAAGGGTAGAGGTGCCTGGGCAGGGCAGGAGAGGTGCCTGGCTGAACTGGGTAAGGACAGTCCTACTCACATGGGTGGCCCCAAGGTCTGGCATTTGTTGCCCTCAAGTGCTGGCAGATCTTGGAATGTCACTTTCCTTGATTCCTCTCTGAGCTGCCCAGAGTGCTCTGGGTTTGTGTGCAGTTCTCATCTCTAACAAAAAGAGACCTGTGTGAGGGGACGGGAGCCGAGATGCAGCCCCTGGGTACTCACTGTTGGTGCTTTGCACACACCCATGGTGCTGTGGGACCAGAGCTCCGGGCTTTGGTGCCTGTGGGGATGGGTCCTTTATTTCATTCCCTATTAAATATTTAACACATATGATTGGAGCTGTTTGAACCTCTCCCCCACAGAGCTACCGGAGTCCACGCTTCTTCATTGCAGCTCAAGGTGAGTGCTCCCAGCCCTCATGCTCAGGAGATGCCAGTTGCTGCCCTGAGCACTTTGGGGAGTGGGGAACTGGGACAGCAGCCTAGGAACTGTTAATGGCTCAGTCCAAGGCCCTGTATCTCCTGGGCCTCTGTCTCGGACAGTGGTTATGTCTGCTGCAGGGCATGGAAGGCCTCAGTGGCAGTTTGGCAGTGGCCAGCTGGAGCTGGTCCCTGCACTCCCCAGGCTGAGAGCGTGGTTCTTACACCCAGAAACCTGGCTTGTTGCCTTTGGCAGCTGGTGTAACAGGGACAAACCCGCAAATGCTTGACAGGTCTGCACTCAGTGCACTCGGAGACAGGCTCCTTCCAACAGTGCAAAGTCAGGACGGGTTAGTCTGCTCCGTGCAGCATGTGGTGAGGAAGTCTCAGGCTCCTTCCAAAGCTGCAGAAATGCTCTTCAGGAAACAGGACCCTAAATGTGGGAGCAGCTCATGGTCATCTTGAGGGTCTGGATGGGGAAGCTCCTGAAGCAGCAGTGTATCCCTGATGTATCCTGGGCTCACCTGCTCCCTCTCTTCCTTGTCCCAATTTCTAACATGGGTGATGAATTCAAGGTGCCCAGCACCCCCCGCCAGGTGCTGCTGTGCCTGGGCTGTCCAATGTTAGTCCTCAGGCAGAGGGAAGTCCAGGGCTGCCCATAGCCTGGGAACGTCTGAGTTGTGCCTGTGAACAGATACACCCCCATGGTTTCAACACCAGCACAGGGGTCTCCTCTTCCTCCCCAAGGCCCCTTGTCTGAGACCATGATGGATTTCTGGCAGATGGTCTGGCAGGAGAAGACCTCGGTCATTGTGATGCTGACGGGCTTAGTGGAGCAGAACAAGGTAGAGAAACCATCTCAGCCTGTGCTCAGCTTCGGCCTCCCCAGAGCCCAGGTTTCCTTCCCTGCTTTGCTTTGGTTTGCTCCCAGTGCAGCTGTCAATGAGGGCAGAGAGCAGATCCACACCACTGCTGGCTTGCAATGCTCCCCTCATGAGTTTGCTAGTGCTTAGTGGTCTTGTTGCTGTTGATAGACCAAGTGTGAGCAGTATTGGCCAGAGCAGGAACAGGTCTACGGGGACTTCACTGTGACACTCAACCACACCAGGACCACCACGGGCCTTGTGACACGCATCTTCTGCCTGAAGAAGGTAAGCCTGGCATGTAGCTGAGATGGGGATGCAAGACACTTTTGGGTTTCAGCAGCTGGTGGGAGTCATTGGCCAAGAGATGCTGTGGGGAGCCCTGGCTGATCTCCAGCACTAGCAGGTCAGTGTTGCTGTCACTGGATGCCATGCCAGAGCATTGGCCCCAGGTTTCTGTGCCAGGAAAAGGCAATTGCTTAGCTGCAGTGGTCACCCCAGCTGAGTCTGGACTGGTGATGCACATGGGCAGATTGTGCATCCTTGAGGGCTTGGATGAGGCGATCACAAAGGGTATAAAAGCAGTTAAAGGGTATAAAATTGCATCTCTGTATATCCAGGATGCTGAGACAGGTGCCTGCCTATCACCTGGACCAATCTGCAGAGGGTCCACATTGAAGCTCCGTGGTCACTTACAGCTCCTAAACCTTAACAGATAGTTGTGTGAGCTGACACAGGCAGGACACAGGATCAACCACAAAACCACGAATGAAATGCAAAGAGCAAATTTATTCTCGTTATCTCGCAAACCAGAGGATCTCTGAAGCAGCACCCCAGCAGAGGCACGCAAGTGGAAACACAGGCACCAAGGACCTTGGTCCTTGCTAGAGAGTGAAAAGCTTTCAAACGTGCAGCTTTCACCTGCATGTCATGGATTTTTGCAGGAATAATTTTCCACTGTGCTTTGATCTTTCCCACAGCAGGACAGGAATCTCAAGCATGTTCAATAAGTTGCCTCTGAGTCTATCACAGACCTATGTTATCTGAACACAGATGTTCTACTTGTCCAACATGCAAGGATAGACAACAATTAGAATGATATATGTGTTTTTCGACACCCCAGCTGCAAGATACTTGAGCGTGTTTACAATCCCCCTCACCAATCTTCCGTTATTTTCCCGCAATATTTTGCGGTTTAAGATAACTTACGTAATGGCATTTCTCAAGACGGGAACTTCTGCTGAAGTTATACCTCAGATAATAAGCAGAAACTGGAGGAGCTACAAGGAGGGAAACACGGGTACAATACAAAGAAATGGCAGTTATGCATACTCATGTCTTTTCTTGTCCTGCCCAGAGGAAAGTCTAGCTGAAAGGTAAAGCTTCAAAAGCATCTGATGGTGGGACATAGCAGTACATTAGTTATAGCTAAGTGAATGTGATGTTTAGGGAAAACACATGATGGGCTGGTAACAAAAGTGACTACGTTCACATCAGTGCGGTACCAGCCTTAGTAAATACTTCATTCGGGTAAGTCAAGGCTTTTTGATGACTATGGAAACACTTTAAATTGTGATTTTAATTGTTTTTTTACTTTGGGACACAAACTGCATTTACTACGCTGAGTTCGCTGTCCACAACCTTGGGAAGCAGAGAATAAAGTGAATTGTTTGGCTGTGTGCTGGGTGAATTTTCCCTTTGCTGTCTAATGAGCTATAGTGGAGCAGTCATTGTGCTGGGGGGAGCACTGTGTGCCGGTGCCCCCCTGAAGTGGTTTTCTCCACTGCTCCCTACTTGTTGGTATGCAATTACTTCATGCAAGTTTCCAGGCTGGTTCCTGCTCCCAGCCATGTCTCCCTCTTTGCAGGCAGGCTGTGCTCTCCCAAGAGTGGTGGAGCAGTTCCACTACCTGCTGTGGCCAGACCATGGAGTCCCCAGAAACCCTGCCCAGCTCCTGTGCTTAGTGGAGGTGGTGAACAAGAGGGGGTTGGAAGCACCTGCTGGACCGGTGCTGGTACACTGCAGGTACTGGGCTGGGAGCACTTGGGTGCCGGGGCAATTCTGGCCAGGGCAGCACTGACCCTTAATTCCCTGTCCACAGTGCAGGGATCGGGCGCACAGGTACCTTCATCGCCCTGGACTTCCTCTTGAAGATGGCGAAGGCCGAGGGGAAGGTGGATGTGTTTCACTGCGTGCAGAGGCTGCGGGAGCAGCGGGTTAGCATGGTGCAGACCAAGGTGAGGATGGTTACTGGCTCCCTGCACACTGGTCAGGCTGGAGATCTGCTTCCCACCCCTACCAGGGACATGCCTTGCAAAGCCACGCTGGCCATGCCGTTCATGGTCTAGCCACAGGGAGTGAAGCTGCCAGGTGATGAAGATTGCAGGATCTTATTTTCAATGTGGTGTCCAAACCTAGTCGGTATCCATGTTCCCCTGAGACCCTCTGAGGTGCCAACAACATTCATATGCACCAGTCATCCTCATGTAGGACAGTCATCTTGTAGGCAAGGAGCATGAACGAGAGTCCACATGTCTTTCAGGCTTTCGGGATGTCTGCCGTTGTGGCACTTTCTGAGCAGTAGTGTCCTGACCTAGGGACTACAACATCACGGTCTGCTCAGTGTCAGGACCCTTTGGAGGAAAATGGGTTGGGCAGGACCATCCAGGTGCTTGTAGGAGGACTAACTAGTCCACTGGTTTTCTGGGTTTCCTTCCCCAGAGCAGGGGTCTGGTCTGAGAGGGGAGCATTAAACCACAGGAGAATGGTCTTGTCTGGGTTGTTGCAATTGCTGGCTGTTTCTCTGAGCAGGGTTGCCTGCACTGAGAGATGTCTGTCCTCAGGGTGCCTCAGCTTTTAGACTTGGCTTATTCCTGGCACAGGTTGATGCCAGTTAGCTGATGGTCTGGAATCCCAGGGCTCCTCATGGAGCTGCTCCAGACTGTGCAGCTGAGCTGTGTCCTCATGCAGGAGCAATACACCTTCCTGTATGAGGCGCTGCTTGAAGGCTTGCTCTGCGGCAGCACCGCGATCCCAGTGGAGAGTATCTCCAGCCACGTCCGCCGCCTTCGAGAAGCTGAGACCTCAAGGCATGACAATGTTCTTGAGAAGGAGTTCAAGGTACCATCAGCAGCTGGTGCACTGGGTCTCGTGCTGCAGGGGCTGTTCTGTGGTGCCTCACCCGCTACTGCTCCCCTCCCCAGCTGTGAGATGGAGACGGGGGAGCCTTTCTCTGGGGTGGGTGGCTGAAGAAAGGGAGGAGCTGACAGGCAGGACTTTCTTGGTTGAATTACCCCTACAGGCCCTGCAGAAGTTTTCCGAGTTGTTCCAGCTCCTGCCATGCAGAGAGGCAGAGAAACCCAGCAACCAGCCCAAGAATCGCAAGCCGGGGATCTTGCCAGGTACTGCTGGCAGGGCTGGGCAGCCATTTGCTTTTTTGACCCAGTGCCTGAGAGCAGTCGGGGGGGGGGAGAACGGTGCTGCCCTGCTGCTTCCCTCCCCAGCACCATGCCACTGGCAGGTTCTGCCAAAGGTCCAATCTTCATTTTCTGACTGGTGATACAGATTAGGCTGGTCCCTCCATGGGAGCAAGACCCCATCCCTGCCTCCTTCTGGGCTTGCTGGATGCTCGTGTTCATGGGGTACACCTAGCATAAACATGTCTAATCCAGTTCCAGTGGAGGAATCCATATGAGGCAACAGGGAGCAATGAGGAGGGTGGACCTGCTGTGCCTCTGTGCCTGCACCCATGGGGTTTTGGACATCCCATGCCAGGCAGCCCTGAGCTGTCATGGCCATGGGGCTGGTGGTGTCTTGATTCATCCAAGCATCTCCAGCCCGTGCTACAGGGAGCCACACTGACCCTACCACTTGCAGAAAAAGCCTCCTGCCTCTGTGTGGGGAGAGGTTGGCTCATCATTTCTCTCTCTGCCCCTTGCCACCACAGCGGATTCCTGCCGGCCCATCCTGATGTCCTCGCTGAATGCAGATGGCTCACCAGGTTACATCAATGCTGTGTTTGCCAATGTAAGGCTCCAGCCACAGTGTGGGGGTAGTGGGACCTACTGAGAGCAGCAGAAAACCCCCCTGGGCACCAATGCTGCAGGCAGGGGTAGACCATGCCACCCTGTTTTTAGGTGTCCCAGTCCTGGGGCTTCTTCCCAGAGGCTGGGACCCTGCTGCCAGGAGGGGACACCCATGATCAGCCTAAACCCTGCCTGCACAGGCAGCTCAGCAGGCTGCCACACAGCTGCTGGCTTTTCCCTACTGGGAGCAGAGCCTGGGTGTGATGAGCTGAAGGGGCTGTGGGGTGCAAGCCTGCTCTGAGCTGGGCTGGGTTGCCCTGCATCTTATCAGGTTCTACCATGGGCCTGCAGAGCCCTTGCTGCAGGGGGGCAGGGAGCCATGCCCGCTGTTGGAAGGACTCTCAGGGTGTGGATTGTGTGACCTTTTCTTCCCCAAAACCCCGGTGTGTTTTGCAGACATACACTGAGGAGGACAGACTCATCATCACCCAGCTGCCTTTCCCTACCACGCTGGTGGATTTCTGGGCTCTGGTCTGGGATTACACCTGCACGTCAGTGGTTGTGCTGAACCAGCTTCAGCAGCTGGACAAGGTCAGCAGCCCATGCACCGGGCAGCCCTTCCCTCTCCCAGCTCCCCACAGGGATAAGCAGTGCGCTTTCTGCCTTTGCCCTCACACAGCTCTTCTTACAAGAGCCCTGCTTGCTGCAGAAGCCCACCGCAAGCTTGTGGGCTCCACCCAGGAGCGTCCTAAGGACAGTCCCAGCACGATGACACTACAGCAGTGGAGTGTCCCCAGTCTCACAGCAAGAAAACATCCCTCAGGTTTTCCTTACCCCTGCCCAGGTGTCCTCTCTGCAGGCGCGTTATTTTTCTGGCTGCAGCACTGTGGGTTGGTCCTCAGTGAATGGCAGGCAGAGGACCCACGTGTTCGCTGTGGCTTATGGGCGAGGGGCTGGTGTGAGCACACTCATGCGAGGTGCTGAGCTCTGCCATGCATGTAGGTCAGGGCTGTGTGTGATCACGCATGTGTCTCTCCCCGCAGACATACGTGGAGTTCTGGCCCACCCAGGGTGAAGCTGCCTACGGCCGTTTTCATGTCCACCTGATCTCAGAGGAGCTCGGAGTTGACTTCGCAGCCTGGACACTCAGTGTCACAAATAGGCAGCAGGTGGGGTCTTTGCACAGAGATGGCAAAGTCCTTTGAGAACAGCCTTTGCAAGAACTGGGAGGACCAGCCAGGCTCCAGGGTCAGCAGGCTTTGTTTTGTGGCCAAAGTCACAGCTAGGGGTGGCAGAGGGATTTGACGGGGTCCTGTAAGGGCACTGGCCAGACCAGGGCCTTTCACCTTGGGACAAAGGTTAGTCCCAATAGGTGAGGCTGGAGGAAGAGGTACAAGGCACCTTGTACCTTTCTAACTTGGAGGACAGAAGCCGTGGATAGAGGTTGTGCGTCTTGGTGGTGGTTCATGGATGGGGACAGGTCTTACAGGTAGCTGGGCATTGGACTGGTGTCAGTCTAAGCTGCACTTAGTGCTCAGCTCTTATCTTGTGCTCTGTCCATCTGCTAGTCTTAGAGCACTCAATGGAGAAGGGCAAAGTCTGGGACTGGGCCATTCCACTGTGGAGCTGATCCAGTGTGCATAGCTAAGCCAGGACTGACACACGTGGTCCCTCCCTTCCCTCCATGAAGCCAGTGGGTTTCTTCTCTGCCCAACCCACTGTATTTCTTCCCTGCTAGCCCAAGAAGTCTGCACTGAAAGTCCAGTTCTGGCAACTGAAGGACTGGCCCATGCAGCAGCGTCTTCCCCCACACCCTGCCACCATCATCAGCCTGCTAGGGAAGGTGGAGACACACCATCGGCAGAGCCAAGACGGACATATCCTTGTCACCTGCTGGTGAGTAATGTCTATTGGAGGAGTAGCTGCAGCCCAGAGCTGGCTCAGCCCAGGCAGGGCCAGTGAACTTGGGTCACAGCTCCATCTTGGGTGGACATATGGACACAAATTCAGCTGTATTCAGGGAGGAAGACTTGAGTCTGGCTGGGTGCAGGATCTGTGGACAAGATAATCCTTGAAAGCTTGCGTGTCTAGAGGGACACCTCTGAGGCTCAGCCCTGACAGGTGATCCCAGAGCAAGTGACTCTCCCCTTGCTTTCCTTTGTAGGGATGGTGCCAGCCGGAGCGGGATCTTCTGTGCTGCTAGTTTCCTGTGTGAGCAGATCCAAAGTGAGGGGCTGGTGGATGTATCCCAGGCTGTGAGGATGCTGAAAAGGCGTCGGAGACAGCTGATTAAAGATGTGGTATGTTCTGACTTCAAACCCAGATGGGATGACAATACCAGAGCGAGAGCCGTAGCCTGGACTGTCCCAGCAGCTGCCCTAGCAGCTCTGTGCTCAGATCATCCTGGGGCCAGCACAGGCAGATGAGACCTCTGAAAACCCTGTTTTCTGCCTCTGGGACACACCCACTGACTCAAGGGCATGTTCTGCAGAACTAGATGGGCACTGAAGCATCCTGTGGGCTGAGTTGCCCCTTTCTGATCCATCTGGTCTGCTGAGCAGGGGGGCAGCAGCTGGTGGGTGCTTGGGTGTGGGTGCTGAACCCACCTCACCACCCAGTCTGGGTGCTAAAGGCCATCATAGGGTGAGCACCCCAGATGGGGGTGAGCACTCTGGGTGGGAATGAGCAGCAGCTGCTTTGTGCCATGGATGCTGCCTTTCCTCCCAAGACCAGCTGGCTCCAGCATTGGGGTAGCCCAGCCCTCAGCTACTGGAACAGTTGCCTGTGATTCCTCAGAGTGGGAAGGTGGTCTCCATCTGGGAGGAGGAGAGTGGGGCTGTACCTGTGCCTGGCCTGCTCAGCAAGCTGTTGGCATCCAAGGCTGACCTTCTGCTGCAGGTGTTGGTGTACCAGGTTCTCATATGCATTATTCTATCTACAGGAGCAGTATGGGCTCTGCTATGAACTAGCCATCAGCTACTTGAATTCATTCGAAACCTATGGGAATTTCAAGTAGAAGCATGGTCACAGCCCATCCCTGGCCAGGACTTCGACTCTTTTGACAGCCCGCTATCAGTAACAGTGGAAACCAGAGGTGACAAGAAGGGTGTTCACAGCCCCAAAATGCTTTACTCCCCTGAAAAGCCACCTCAAGGGCCCTATGTGACTGGAGAGCACAGTCTGGACTGCCTCCAAATTGTGGTCAGGTTTTGAAGAGGGAACCTGGCCCTTAGACAAGAGTTTGCTCAGGAACTTACCTGGAATCACAACCTGAGTACATAGACCAGAGCAGAAGCACCAGGACTTGATCCGTCTGTGCCAGGGATGAAGAGAACCAGCCGTCCCATCCAGGCTCCCTTGTTCCTTCAGGCAGCCCCAGGGAAAATGGGGTAGCTCCACTAGCACCCAGACTGTATTTTGTCAGGGGACCATCAAGCTGCTGTAAGATCCACAGGGTTCAGGAGCACAAGCCACCTGTCCTACTTTAGGAGAAGCATGAAGCCCAACGCAAACAAGGGCCAAGGGACGGATAAGCCACCATCCTGTAGTGCTAGCCTGGTCTTTCCCATCCCACACAGTCCTGAAGCTCCATCTTCCTGATGCTGATCCAGGTGCAACAGCCCTGTCAGCTCCAGAGGTGCTCCCTTACCAGCCATCTAGCTCCACCATGTTAATTCCAGGTTGTAGCAGCTCAACTTAGATATCCTGGATGTGGTTCCGGCAAGGGCTGCTGCAACACAGAGACGGGTTCTGCCTTTGCTGCTTAAGGGCAAGGGGCCTCAGAGCCAAGACCCTGTGGCTTTGTTGTTTGTCTCACCAATAAAGACTCTGTGCTGGCCATGATGGTGGTGATCTCTGATCTTCACTTTTCTTCCAGGTTTGACCTGGCACAGGGGCTGCAAAGGAGCTGAAAGCACACAGGTTCTTCAGCTTTGGCCACAGCATGGGCACAGAACACACTGATGCCCAAGATATTCATTGAAGAACATCACCCTTCACTGATTCCCACCATGCACCCCATCCAAACTCACTGTGAGAGCTGCCCAGCACAGCCCTGGGGGTCTGAAAGGCTGTCAGGCACCACTCAGGGACACGGGGTCACAGCAGCCCTGCTCGTGGTGTCCCCTCGACAAGGTGCAGTCAGCTCACTGTAGGGGGATGTGACCCCACAAGGGCAATAAGGGGACAAGACAGGAGCTGTAGTGGAGCAGGTAGCTCCCTCCAAACCACAAGCCTTTATTGGTTATCCAGACAGTGCAGGCAGAGTCACAAAGGCAGCCCAGACAGGCCAAGCTCCAGCAGAGCCCTGGGTTTGGCTGAATATCAGCAGATGGTGGGGGAGAGGGGCTGGGAACCCAGGACATGGCAGGAGCATGGACCATCCCTCAGCCTGAGCCCATGTGAATCAGGGACTGGAAAATCTGGCTTACAGTTCCTGCTTCCAGGAAGGAAAAAATGAAAGCAAAGCCTAAAAAAAGGAACTACAGGAAGTCACATTCAAAGGCCTTAAAAGAGCAGTAAGTGAAAGCTGGGAGGTGAAGGGAGTAAGGAAAGAAAAGGCCTTTCTTGGCCTCCTGTTTTCCTCTTGCTCTGCTGAATTCGACAGGATCCCCAGTGCTGGTCACAGTCACAGAAGAGCCAGGGGGCCTGGCAGCCATCAGCACGGAGCTGGGGTCACCCTCTCAGTCTTATCCATTCCCTCACTGCTCTGAATGTCTCCTGTGGTCCTGGGCAGGGACTGGAGTGACTGATTTCCATCCTGGCCACCTTTACCTGTGGAGACCAAGGACACCCAGGGCAGAGGCTGCTGCATGCCCTTGGCTGCATAGGGAGCCCATGCCACCACATCTGCCTGCACACAGCTGTCTGAGACAGGCTGGAGCACAGGGCAGTGCCTGCCACTGCCCAACTCCCTCATCCCCACTATGCCCAGCCACGGGATCCTGGAGGTGCCTGCCTGTGCCCAGGTGAGAGCAGCAGTCCCTCAGATTGACCCTCCCAGCAGATCTCTCCCCTGGGGGGGGTATGACACGGCTACAGGTCCCTCAAAGTGCTGAGCCATGAGCCACCCTTTGGGATGCCCGTCTTTGATGAGTGCCCCTGCCTCTGCTCCAGGCTGGAAGCACTGTTTGGAGCCATGCTCTGCTGCTGCATGGGGCTTGGCAGGCAGAGCCACCCTGGCACTACAGGTCTGGGACAAATAGGGAGATATGCCAGTGAAGAGCATGAGCAGATGTTTCTCCTGAGGGTCAGGCTTTCCTGGGAGACATCTGCTCTTTGCCAGCTGCCACGCTGCCCTACAGCCCTTTCTGTGGTGGTGGTCCAGGGAATCACATTTTCCTACCTTTTTAATTATCCTCCTTAGCTTTTCCAGGCAAAGACTTCCCTCTCCTGGAAAGGCAAAGGGGAGCCTTGAGTAAGAGACTGGCATTTGCCCATGCTGACCCCTTCCTACTCACCGGGAAAGCACGAACCACAGGATCCCTGCAGAGATGAGGAGGAGTACCAACAGCACAACCACCCCAGTCACAGTCCCATGCCACAGGCCGGGAGGCTGCCCTGCAACTAACACACAGCCAGGAGTAGGTGCCACAGCCTGGGCCATGTTCTGGCAGTGGCCCCAACGATGGCAAAGGGTATATGCAAGTGTGTAGAAGTGTGTCTTGGCTTAGGTTTATTCTGGGGTGGAGTGTCACCCCATGTATGGGAAATGAGAGTTTTCCTCTCTCCCCAGTGAGACCCCACCGCTCCTGTGCTCAGCCAGTTCCTCTCCATGGGAAGCGGCGAGGCTGGGAAAAGGGAACATGCAGGAG